TGTAACACAAATATCAATTGCATTTTTCTCAAAACTCAAATTATCTGTCGAAGGGGGGTTTTCCTAGTCCATGCCCCATATCTGCGTTAAATCCGGATATAGTCATCCGGATCGCCTAAATTTATCCATGTCACATTAGGGTGTTACCTCAACTAATAAATCAAAACATAGTCAGGGTAACATAAAGATCATTGATTTCGGATTTTTTATAGGTCGTATATTAAATATTAATTAAATTTACATTAATTAGCACAAGTATCCAACGAAAGTGTATATAATTTTTTAACTTGAAGCACTCAACTAGCTCTACATGGTAATAGAGCTATTTTTTAAAATAAATTTGTAAAAATCAATTAAATAATTAATATTTAACATTTACATAATAATTGAACGATTTTTATAAGCTGCTGAAAAAAATAGCTCTATTACCATGTAGAACTAGCTGAGAGCTTCAAGTTAAAAAAAAAAAACTATATACACTTTCGTTAGATACTTGTGCCTATAAATGTAAATTTAGTTTTATAATTATTTTTATAATCATCTAGTATAAATCGTCGAAAAAACTGATTAATGATCTCGAAATTTAACCATGAATAAATCCGAAATTAATGATCCTCATGTTACCCTGATTTTATTAGTTGAGGTAACACCTAATGTCACATTAACCAACTTTTTTATTGATTAGTATATAATTTATATTATGGAATTCGGGAACTCGGGAAAACAATCCCGGATAATTATTTGTTGTACTATATAAAAATCTAGAGTGTTTTGCTCAAAATTTATAAAAATTATTTGAAAATTTGAATATATTGTTCATTTCTATCAATAAAAATGCGATTTTCTTTTGATAAAATCCCTGATCTTTCTGGAAAGGTGATTTTTAATTAATTGAATTTTTTTTTTTTATTAAAAGCTAATATAAATTTACATGTTTAATTTCTCGTAATTCAGGTTGCAATAGTGACAGGTGGAAACACTGGTATAGGAATCATAACAGCAAGAGAATTAGCCCGTAAAAATGCTCACGTATTCGTTGCAAGTCGTAGTAGAGATAGAGGTGAATCAGCTGTAGAACTAATAAAAAAAGAAACAAAAAATGATGCAGTTGAATTTTTACAATTGGATCTACAAAGTTTAAATTCTGTCAAACATGCTGCTGAAACATTTTTGGCTAGAAAATTGCCATTGCATATTCTGTGAGTTTTTACCATAAAATATATACATATTGCGTTAGAACTAGTATTTTTATGTATATTGATATATACTTTATTTTAGAGTTAATAATGCCGGTATTATGGGAACGTAAGTTATTTTTTCATATGTGGTCAGTTCATGGCGTGAATATATATAATAAATTATCAATCTAATTTTTACATTCATATAAAAAAGCCCATTTGCGACAACTGTAGATGGTATTCAAGATCAGTTTGGCACTAATCATATTGGCCATTTTGTAAGTATAGTATGAGAATCTTTTAATTGAATTTTTTTAGGAAAAGTATTATCATAACATGATTTTTAAACTACGAATAGGTCTTCACACTCTTACTGTTACCAACTATCAAAGCTTCTGCTCCATCCCGCATTGTAAATGTTAGCGGGTTAGTTTAATTTCTTTCTATATACTTAATTTCTTTCCATATTACTGTATTAAGAAATTAGAACTTAATAAAAGACTTTCGGGAACAAATGTTTATTGTAATAGTCTCCATCCAGGTAAAAAAAAATTAAATTAGTATTTTACAATATAATACGTGTATAATAAATTAATTTAAATGATATAATATTTAATATCAATAACTGCATACGTATAAATAAGGCGTCATAAAGACTGAGTTAACGCGTGGAGTGGTTGCTGACTGGGGATCTTGGGTAAAGCCAATTATCTCCTTAGTTGGCTTTTTCAAATTATCAGCTGATGATGGTGCTTTAACTCAACTTTATTGTGCTACAAGTCCTGAAATTGAAGAAAAAAATCTCCGTGGATTATATTTTGTACCATTTGGTGAAGTAGGTGAACCTTCTACTCAAGCTAAAGACGAAGAATTGGCAAAAAAATTATGGGATTTTTCTGAAAGTTTCGGTAAAGGAAAGTTGGGTGATGACATTTTTAGTAAAAGTTTTGCATAATGCTAGTGTCGTGACTTTTAAATCATGGGTTTTTGTTGATTATTTATTTTTTTTATGTTTTTATATCGATATAGTTTTCATTTTCATATTTATGTATACTAAAATGTATACAAGGGGGGGTTCAGTTTATTCAGTTGTAACTTAAGATGCAACTTCGCAGGATATGTATACTTTTATAGTTATTATTATAGATGCTGGTGAAATAATTTCACTATTATTGGTGAAATTGGTGGTGAATTGGTGTAATTGGTGAAATTAATTCACCAGCATCTATAGTTATTATATTAAAAAAAATTAATAACTTATATTTGGCTCTAAGTTTTTAAACACATTTTGTGTATAACATTCTATAGCATTAAGCTTTAAACCTCGATTTATACTGTATAACCGATCCAAAAATTAACATTCTCTACCTAACTTGACTAGCATTTTTGTAGTTATAACCATAACCGATACTAATCGGTCATAAATTTTTAACTGACCGGTTAAAATCATAACATCATAACTGATTACAGATGTTTTAATGTTCTGGATAAAAAGCTTGAGAAGCTTGAGAAATAATAAATGTTTTTCAATCATTGTTTGATTCGGTATGAAATATGCAAATAGTTGTTTTTACAGTATTATTGATTATTTTATACAGTATATTTCAATTTGGCACAGAAATAATAAACTTAGCCCGACTAATATCGCCACCAACACCAGGTCAGTGTTCAGACTTATGCGATTTCAGGAATATGCCATTGTTCAAACAATAAAAATCCTGAAATTGCAGGATATATATTCACCTCCTATGTATCAATTAAATAATGATTATGATAATGCTCAAGCATCGCAATCAATGACGATATTTATAGGATTAAATGCTTGAGCATACTCTTTCTATTTTTCAAAATATTTGCTACGTCTCCTAAAAAACCTAATATATTCAGCCAGCTGCCGAAGCTTCAACTTCAGTTTCACTAGCTTCACCTTTTAACAATTTTACCGATTAAATTTTTGTTGCAACAGTAACAGAACTAACTTATGGAGTCGTTAGCTTTGCGGAAACAAGTAAATTTTTTTTTATGGCAATCATAATTCTGTAGTGCTATTTCGCAATGAAGTAGCATAGGTAAAACAAAAATATTTTCGAAAGAGTTATAACCTTCATTATTGAAAAGCATCAACCCAAAATCCTTCGTCTTTGCTAAAAAATTTTAAATTTAGGTGAACGAAAAAACGGTAGTATTTAATATAGTTTGATTAAGGGTTAAAAGATGGGTTGCATTTATTACGTTCATGGCTGTTATCAAGCATTTAAATCAATTGATCAAATAATAATCGTGAAGCTCAAGCATCACAACTGATGACGATATTTATAGAATTAAATGCTTGAGCATACTTTTTCTGTTTTTCGTAATGTTCTAAAAACCCAATGAAAAAAAAATTCTTTTCGATCAACCGTTAAAGTTTCAACTTCTATCATGAATTACTGTTAAAAATTCACATACAAAATTTGTGCACTATTCTAATGATCACAATACAGGGTTAGAGTTGAGTTAGTTTGCATTGGAATTATTATGGTTTCTATCATATATTACTGTTATAAACCTTACTATTTTGGCGATATGACTCACTAACGCATGTTGTTAACGTTATCTACATCTCAGTTAATCTAATTTTAAAGATTCAAAATGCGCGAAACTCAATTTTTTAAAAGAAAAGCAAATAGATTAACATTAATAAATAAAAAAAATTCAATCGCACTTTGTCATTTTTAACGTGGGAAAATTTATCTGTTATGACGATTACTATTTTAGTATTAAATCTGCAATTATTGCGACTATGATCATTTGCATGATTAATTAATATAACAGATTCGTCATTATACATACAGTACCACATACCCTTAAAGGTTAATTCACAGAACATGATACTACAGTATAACCTCGATATAATAAAGCTCTGGAGTTGGGGTGTTTGGTTCGATATATCAAGGTTTCGGTCCATTGAGGTACCTTGCTATAACGAATCTATATATAATTTTATA